AAAGCCACAGGCTGACAACTACAAACATGTGTAGAGAGGAAGGCTGCAGAAGTCTCTGCAGATGTTTCCCACCCTGAACCTCTTCTGTTTAACTCCCTCTTAAATAAACCTTCAGCTTAAGTATGAAGCCGGATTTATGCTCAGAAACCAGGTCGTCTGCGTGTGTCGCAGTTAATACGCCATATATTGAAGCGTGGTCTGCGCTATGGTCTGGACAATCAGGAACTAGCTGTGGGTCTAGATATGGCCGAGGTGGTGAGGAAGCGAAGGGAAGTTTGCAAACGCCTCGGACACTCTCCCAGACACTGTACAGGACGCTCGTTTGTAGCTCTGTTCGACCGTCTGTTTTGCACCGAAAACCAAAACACGCAGCACCACGGCCAGTCTTTAAGGAACACTCACGGGTGAACTGTGTGTCGTCCGACCTTGGATGAGGAGTAGTAGACGACAAACAAGCTCGTCAAACCGACACCCACAATCCTAGCTAGTTCCTTCTTGCGTTGTGGCGTGGAATAACATAGCGCAGACCTCGCTTAAAAATTGGGCATAATTTAAAAATATCTGCATCATACCTGCAACAAGCTCACTGCGACACACTGCTGCGGGTGGATAATTAGCGCTTAAGTGTGTTTCTTTTCTTCTCTGTGACGTGTGGTCTTAAACATTCTAAGGGGATTAGGGGAGGAGTTAGTCTTTGGTCCTGACAGTTATTCAGAGCAACATATCCTGGATTTTAATTAGAAGTGCTTCAAAATTTTCTTTTTCTTTTTTATTAAATAACCAGATAGGTTCCTGTTTTGTTAGATGATATAATAGTTTAAAGAGAAAAGAAAACCTTTTTTTGTTTGTTCAGTCAGTATTTGACAATATAAATATCATTTTTTTTCTGATTCAGCATAATGTAAAATATTTAGCCCTGTGTTAAAGGAAAGATCCTCTTAATCAAAGAGAAAACTCAGGCTTTAATCGTTAGTTGTTCGCTCTTAGTTTATCATTTACATTTTAATACTATGCTCTTCGTTTGCGGTTATGCACTGCTCTGTGTTTATCCATCAAGAATACTCCTAAAAGAATACACTAAAGATGGTCATTGAACCATGGCAGAAATATAGAAACATTAGAAAGTGAAGAATTCAGTATTCCAGGAGTGACATGTACTACTTGCTCTGTTCCTACTCCGCATCATATTTGTGGTATAACCATGCACTCATGCTGATGTCTGAACAAAGCTCAAATCTGATCCCTGATCAGTGGGATAATAAATAGTCTGTGTGGGTTCAAATCATTTCTGGGTAACAGAGTTGTGGGCATCAGTCAGAGCTCTGGAGGACGTGCAGCTTTATTTATCTGGCATCTATAAAAGTCAGTTTGCTAAACTGTTAGTGATTAGAAGCTGCTTTGTTCACTAAGCTGCTTCCTAAATGTCCACTGTTGACTGTTTTTAAGCTCTACTTCTCCGTTTCCTATTGTTTTGAAAAGATGTTAGATTATTAAAAGCTTCTCAGTTGTGATGATGGATTCATTAATCTTTTCTGCGTGGCATTAGCATTTAATCAGCGTCAGAAAGCAGAGCTTCCCCATCTGCTCTGCACCGTCCCCATTGGTCACACCTGTAGATTGGGCCGCGCTGATCCTCCGCCGATGTACCTGAGCCGGGAGCCACGGAGCTGATGGGACTAAACCATGAGTCATCATTCGTCCCAGTGAATGGGGGATTCAGCTTGGGTTCGGTGCTATTTTTAGACAATTCAGTCATTTGGTTGCATAACTTTGGCCTCCCAGCAGTGAAATTAGTCACAATTTCCAGCAGCAGGAGTGATGGAGTGAATCAGTACATATAGAGCATGTGTCACAGAGTCCCTGCCTTGATTTTCCAGCTAAGTAATGAGAAATGCCTTTAGTTCCTCTCTAGTCCAAACCAGAAGGTTTAATCTGGTTGTTTTTACCGTTTCTATCAGCCCATTCTCTGCTGCATCCCCTCCACCCTCCCGCTCCAGCAGGATGTGACGTCGTGTCACGGAAAGCGCCCAGAGCTGCACCGCTCCTCTTTGAAGTCAGCAGCCCTGCCAACTCTCCGGCTTCATTAACATTAATAAAGGAGATATAAATATTCCTAATTCTCTACTTTCCTCACATTATTTCTTTGTCTTTGCTCTATGAGACAGAATATTTATAGGAAAAAAAGGTCATTGAGTGATCCTGCTGCTTTAACAGGCCAGGGAGATTTTTGTAGAGAGGATGGAGTGGTTAAAGGTGACATGAGGAGGGGTAGATACGACTAAAGTAACTCTGGTGGATTCCCGGTTTCTGGTTTAAGGTTGATTTTTAACTAAAATGTTTGAGGAGCAGCAGACAAACATTCTGTTTAATTACGGTTGCAGAAATGAAATAGAGAAGAAACAAAAAACACTTCTGCTAACAAGTGGTTTTTGTTTTGTTACCTTTTAGTATCATCCTGTGTTCAAGCTTTTCTGGTTTTGACTAAAACCTCCAGTCTGCCTGTCAGTGGCAGGCCCCTAACCCCTCTGGGTAAATTTCACTTCTTTTTTTTTAAGATGCCTTTTTTAGTTAACTTATACTTTTGTAGGTTTCATTCTGGCTCCTTTTTTCTGTCACTTCCTGCCTGCAGCCCTGCTGGGGTTCTGATTCTGGTGAAAATGCAAAGATTTGTTTTGGAGAAGACTTAGTTTGTTTCTTCCCAATCAGTACTGGTAGCCATGGTGAGGGGTTTGCAATACATCGAATATACTCGATGTATCTTGAGCTTTCCCACGCGGGTTAGTTAAAATGACTCTATCGCAGCCATCAAGTACAAATTCGCATGACGAGGCAAGGTACATTTATTTGTATAGCACAATTCAGTACAAAGACAATGCAAAGTGCTTTACATGATTAAAATACAGGAAGATAAAACAGAATCAAAGCAAGTAGGAAAAAATAAAAAAAAATAAAATAAATGCAGAAACAAAAAAGAATATTAAAAATATGTTTTAGTTGAACTGTTTAACTAGAACAGTTGAAGGCAATCCTAAACAAATGTGGTTTTAGTCTTGATTTAAAGGAACTTAGGCTTTCCGCACTTTTACATTTTTTCTGGATTACATTAACCTGTCTGCATTTATTTCACTTAGTTTTATTTTTCCCACTCACTTTGAATGCATCATAAACCTCTCCTCCAAACAGAATTATTTTCTGCACTGCATGCACACTGCATGCACACTGCAGCAACCGGCAAACAAAATATGGCGACAGCAGGTGTTTCAGCTGAGCGGTGGTTTGGATTTCACACTGAGGACGTTGAACAAAAGGCGCTAATCTGTAAGACGTGTCACTAAAAACCGTAGCAAAAAAGGTAGCAGTAGAAAATTATTTCACCACCTAAAAGTCCGCTGCAAAATGAACAATGAAGTTATAAACTCTGCATGTCAGCGTTAAATAAATCACCTGTGAAGTTGGCCTCATCCTTTTTGTGCTTTAAAATTTCCAGCACGTAAAGATCATTGCAACTAGTTTTGAGATGCTCTGATAATGCTCTAATTTCTAGACAGTACTTCCACTTTAGTTTTTGTAATTATTTCATTAAGCACAAAAGAGCCCTTTTTTATTTTACATTTTTAGTATTTTTGCTCTGTTCCCTGTTTGGTTGCTGGGATCTTGTTAAAGGTCTAATACTGACACCAAAAGGCATAAAGTGGCAGAAAAGCTTTGAGCTGGTTAAAATGAAATGTTTCAAATATGAAACCAAAAGTTTGCATGAGTATATCTATTGTTTTTGTTTGTTTTTGAGGCTGCAGCAGGTTGTTTTAAATTAATATTTCCTAAACTAAAAAATAGTGCATCACAGTACATGCTATTGCTTATAAGCAAAGATTAGTGCAAGGTTGTAGTTTCTAAAGAAATTATTAAAGAAAACAATCTGCTCTGATTTTTCTTTTTCTCTGATGATGATGATGATGATGATGAATTTTATTTCAAATTCAATAATACTGTTCAAGAAAAGTTAAAAACCACAAAGCACTAGAAACTTAAAATGACAGGGAAACTATATATTTATTAAAAAGTGGATTTTTTTAGGCGGTTTTCGGAAAGGAGAGGATGAGGGCAATTGGTGATACCAGAGCTGGGCTACGGAATAAGGGACGGTTCTGGTGCTGAGGTGGACAGATGGTGAATGGAGGATGAACACCTTAGGGAGCAGGAAGGCTTGTAGATGTGGAGGAGTGGAGAGGAGTAGAATGGCCCTGAAAGACAAAAGGAGGAGTTTGATTAGATTTGATAGTAAAATGGAAGTGATATGGTGGAAGGAGGGGGTTCAGACTTAGGGGGATATTTGGGACAGGTGGGGACCAGGCTATGAGGGGAGCGATGGAGGTAGTTTATACAGCAAAGGTGGAAATAAACAGATCTGAAAATGTTAATATGGGACTAAAAGGAGACGCTGTTTACCTGAAGAACAGCGGAAATAAGGAATAATTATTGGTTAGAGAACGTCACTGGTTTTAAGGGAGGGTGGCATTGTTGCCATTTAAGATTTCTGTCTTATTTCTATTAAGTTTGAGAAAGTTCATAAAATCAGACCAGAGAGAGGTAATGTTGTGGGTGGTTTGCAGGAGAGGTCGAGCTAGGAGATAAATGAGTGACCCCAGGAGAGAGCCCTGTGGGACGCCAGAAATAACAGGAGGGGAACTGAACGTTTTCAGTTGTATGGAAATTGTATCAGTGTCTTCGTGAATGGGGAATTATTGAATGTAGTGGAACTGGCTTTGGTGAAGTCTGACATGAAGACGTGCTTTATAAGTACAGAGCATTTACCATTGTTAGCATTTGGAAGAGTGCGGCCAGACTGGGTCGAACGCAACCTGCAGGAGCCTAAATAACAGAGATCAACAGCATTTTAAACATTTTCTTCAGCTCAAGTTGTCAAAGCATAAAAGAAATCTGAATACAATCTCTGAGACGGAAACTTATATTTTCTTTATCCCCTTTTTTTGTTACTGCAGTGAACAGAGCATCTGCCAGGCACGAGCCGCTGTCATGGTGTACGACGATGCCAACAAGAAGTGGGTCCCTGCTGGAGGCTCCACGGGTTTCAGCAGAGTCCACATCTATCACCACACGGGTAACAACGCCTTCAGAGTGGTAGGACGCAAGATCCAGGATCATCAGGTGAGGGCGTGGCCTCAGCTGCTTTTATCTGCATTTGATGATGGGATCCTAGGACATAACGATAAAGTGTTTGAGGACAAAGCTGCAAAACCCTCAAATTTAGACAGAAGAGGGGCTTTAGTTCCCATCTGTTTGTAGAATCACTGCGTGGTGTTTAGAGAAGACACAGACATTTCTGGAAGAGAAGCTGACAGCAAAGTGAGACATGAGAGCAGCTGGGATGGATCCAAAGCAAACCCCAGTTTGTCCAAATACACTAAAGCCTGACTCATCAACAAGGCTTGGAAATCAGCAAACTCTGACTGTTGATCTGATTCATAGGATTTAATGACATGTCATTAAAGCTAATGTTATCCTTAAAAAGTCTATTTCATAAATAAAAGGCCTTTACTGTGCACCTCTCTCAGGGTTTGGAAAACCTTGTAAACAACAATCTATGTCCTTTCCAACCCCTGTAGGAAAAGAGATTAGGACGTAGGCCACAGGAATAAGTTTACTGTTCAGTTATTCAAATCCAAGGGTTTCAGGAATGCATCCAGCCTCAAATCTGTCTTCAAGTGCTAATAACTGTCTGTGGTGACCACTGATCAGAGCAGCGACCGAAAGGCTGCCTCATTTATTCATTTTGGGAAACATTTCAGGTGCTTAAATAAAGTATTCATTCATTCATTCATTAAAAAAAAAAAAATCCAAAATATTTAGATATTAAACCACTACTTTAGCAATTAACTATTGTCAGAATTTTAAAGGAAAAGTCTGATCAGCAAGGAATAATGAGTGGGTCATTATTTATACCTAAAATGAATACGTTCATGGTGATTTAATGGATTTAGCGTTAATCAGGATAGTTAATTAGTGTACCCATTTCAGTTTGGATCTTTTCTAAGTAAAAACGAGGCTTTTTTGGGCTTCTGTATAAAACCTCGAACTCAAAGCTATTCCTGACCTTTTGAATTGAAAAAGCTTCCTGGATGGGAAGAGAAACGTCTTCAAACTTGAAAACAAAGTCCAGTTGATTTATTTTTTTTATTTTCTTTCTTCATTGGGATAAGTGTAAAGGAGAAAAGCATTTTAACGTTCTTTTTATTAGAAGCTAATAATGTAATCTCCACAGACAATGATCTGACAGAGCAGAAACCCAAACCTGAAATATTGGCATCAAACATGGAGAAATTGGGTGCAGTGAATTTAAGCCTCCTAATTGACCCAAAGCAGAAAGACTTTAATGAGACGTTTAAGTCATTATGACGTTATGTAGCGTTATACTGTTGCTGAATTTATTCAGGTCCAGTTTAAAGCCTCATACATACAATCTCAGACCCCTCCACTGCAGACACTGTCCGTAACCAGAACACCTTCTCCTCTCTTCACGCCCAAAGGTGGTGATAAACTGTGCCATTCCCAAGGGGCTGAAATACAACCAGGCCACGCAGACCTTCCACCAGTGGCGTGATGCTCGGCAGGTCTACGGCCTCAACTTTGGCAGTAAGGAAGACGCCAACGTGTTCGCCAGTGCCATGATGCATGCACTGGAGGTGCTGAACTCCCTGGATACAGGTCAGTGCAGAGCTGCCTGCCACGCTGCCCTCATCTCTCTCCAGTCCTACTAATGGGATCCTTTATGCTGTTTTCATTTAGCAGCCTGTCTTTGACTTGAGTTCTCATTAGGTCTGGTCCCAGTGAAAGGATGGGTAGCAAGTATAGAGGATCTGATGGGTGGAGAATGTGGTAGACTACAGGGAAGGATCATGGAAATGGGAAGGAAAGATGTGGAGAATTGGTTTGATGATTCTTAAAGGCAGCAGCTGCTGGAGCCACTGGTGCTGTGTATGCAGTGTGTATCTGGTACAGTCAGGGATACGTTTGTGTAATTCTCTTCACTGTCAGCATATATTGACATTATGTAATCCTCTATGCTGCAGCTGTGTGCCTCGCTGAACGTTTCCCCTCCAGGCCAATAACGTTCCTCCTTTCTTATTGCAATCTGTGTTATGTTGCAAATGAACCTGAAACTGCTGAGAAACGTGATGCAATTAAAAATGTTCTGTAAGCATCCGTATGTTCTGCTGGGGATGAAACAGGCTTTATCCCCCATTACTGGGAGAAACAACGTTTGAGAAAGTAAAGCTTAAAAATAAAGACATTTGAAAAGTTTGGAGAAAAAAAATGTTTCAATTAAGATTTGAAAAACAAATATATATATATATATATATATATATATATATATATATATATATATATATATATATATATAGCCTGTAACAATAAGCTGGAGGTCTTCAACAGGGGGTCCACGGACGTACTGCATGGGGGTCACTAAAGTTTTGGTTGATTAGACTTCTTTTTTTTTTCCCTGCACTTTTTTTCCTCTAATTGAAACGTCTTTAAATCCACATTAACATGAATTCAACACACTGTAGTAAACAGATAAATGGAGGCAGAAGATGTTTTTCAGTCATCAATGCAAACATTCAGAGACACACAGGAGCTCTTTCAAGCTGGACACCGTTTCATTCACAACACCTGTCCCATCAACCAGGAATCAGAAATACTTTAATAATCCCAGAGAGAAATTACTTTCATTACATTACTCCATCTGTAATAGAGTGACTATAGGACCAGTTTGACAGAACACTATTTCATACAATAAATGTAATTAGGGGGTCTCCGCTCCATCTAGCCATCAGTTGGGGGTCCTTGGCCTGAAAAACGTTGAAGACCTACTTGGAGTTGTTACTCTGTTACAGCAGGAACACCACTAGCTAGTAGTGTATGTACGCTGTACAGTATGTTCACTGATCAAATAAAAGGTTTTAAAAGAAAGAACGGTCTAATTTCTTGGTTTCTGCTCACAACTAGCACCGAAACCAGAAACTACCTGAAAGTGCTTCAATCAGTACTCTTCAGTTAAGCCTTAGGAGGCTTTTAAAGGAAAAGTCTGATCAAGGAATAATCAATGGATCATTATCTATATGTAAAACTAATACGTTTGCGGTGATTTAATGAAATTAGTGTTAATCAATAAAAAAATTTAAAAAATAATTTTCGTCACGATCACCGAGTCTGGGAGCGGCCATTTTTGCCCAAATATAGTAACCCCTCCCTCCTGCCATCTTCCAGCAGTGACGTCACGGTGCGGTAGGCCTAGCGCCATTCTCCCCGCTTTACAAGCAAAATCAATGGGAACAACTAGACACATCTGCAATCAACAACAATTATT